AGCTTATGACAATTTAAATTGAAATTTCTTAATACTATTCTTGTTTAGTTCAATTTTATTGAGGAGTTTTTTAATCTAGTGAAGAGTATTATTAATAATTGTTATTTTTCTGTTATCATTAATGGGAGTAGTCATGGTTTTTTAACTTCTACTCATGGTGTTAGATAAGGAGACTGCCTGTCTCTGGAACGTTTTATAATTGCTATAGAATACCTTTCTAGAGGTTTGGAGAAACCTTTTGTTTTACATCCTTCTCTTAATTTTTGTACCTATGATTTTTTTTCTCTAATCTTAGTTTTGATGTTGATTTCATTATTTTCACTAATGATTCTATTAAAATATTGAGTATTGTCTTTAAGTTCTTCTACCAATTCCAACAAGTTAGTGGTTTACAAATTAACAATAACAAAAGTGGCTTTAATACTGGTAAGTCCATTGGAACTTAACATATTAATAAAATTCATGAAAAATTTGGTATATCTCATATGTCTTTGACGACCACTTATTTGGGTATACCTTTCTACAGGGGTAAGAGAAAATCTCCTATTTTTGATGGAATCATCATGGCTATAAAAAAAAAAAAAAAAAACTTAACATTTGGCTTTCAAATTCTTTTCAATTGGTAAGAGATTTACTTTTAATTAAAAGTGTTCTTCTGCTTTGCCTATTTATTTATTACATACTTTAAATCTCACTATTTTCATTTGTAATAGACTTGAAAAGTTAATCAACAAGTTATTTTTGGGGGCTAAAAATGGCAAATCTACTATTCTTCGGGCTTCATGGAAGAAGTGTTGTGGTGATTTGGAGGAAGGTGTGCTTGGCTGTAAGAACTTGTTTGATATGACTATAGTTTTTTCCTATAAATTTTGTTTCAACTTTAGATCTAGTAAAAGTTTATGGGCTAATTTCTCATATAGAAAATATTGTGTCAATAATCATCCTCTTTTATGTGTTCCTTAAAAGGGAGATTTCTCCATATGAAAATGGTTTTCTAGCATTAATTGGGAGATTGAGAAGTTCATTCAGTGGGGTATTAGTAGTGGTGATGTTTTTATTCGGCAAGATCAGTGGTTTGACAATTATTCCATTGATAGTTTATTAAATACTAGATCCATTTCCCCTTTGTTAATTAAAATCTTTATTTCTAATGTTAAGTGGAATTTCGAGACGTTGAAGGATGTTGTTCCTTATAATATTATTAACAATATTGTTAATATTTCTCTGCAGGTTAGAAAAGAGGATTATATCCTTTTTACAAAAGCTCGTGATGGTAATTTTCATTTAAAGAAGTTTGGTACTTAATTTATGATGATAGGCGGGCCTCTGTTTCCTACAATTTGGCATAACTTGATTCTCATTTCTTATTCTATTCTAACTTGGAGAGTGATTCATAACTTTATCCCTATTGACAAGATTCTTATTAAAAGAGGTTTTAATGTTGTTTCTAAATGCCAATTTTGTTAGTGGAAACTCTTAACCATGTTTTGATTAATGGGCCTATTGCTATTATAGTGTGTCTTCATTTTGAAGAGATTTTGAACATGAATTTTTCAAATGGTTACAACAGCATTATAAAATTTATGAAAAGTTTGCTTGTTAAGTCTAAAATTCATATTAGAAACCTTCTCCCCAATATTATCATTTGGTATATTGTGAAAAGTAGAAATTATGACAAAAATGATGGGATCATTATGAATGTGAAGTGTATCATCCTTAATATTAAAGAAGAAATCATGTATCTTTATGTTGCTAAATTCATTACACCTAAAAATTTTAAAGATTGCATTTTTGCTACTTTTTAGTTTGGTATTCAGAATATTAATACTGCCAAGAGCAGAATGGATAGGGTTATCCATTGGCTTAAACCTTCTCTTGGTGGGTTTAAGCTCACACGAATGGGTCATTTGATGGGAATGTGGCTGGTTGTGGGGTATTTTGAGAGATCATCTTGGTAAGGTGATTAAGGTTTTGCTACGCTTGTTTCTATTTCCGCTGCCTTTATGGCTGAGCTTTATGCCCTTAAATATAGTATCAATATGTGTATTAAGTTAGTTCTGAACAATATTTGGATTGAGGTTGATGCTATGCTTATTATACACTAAATAAATAGCGACCATTTATTTAATGTTGATAATTTATATCTGATCAGAAATATTAAACAAGGCTTATCTTGTCTCAATTTCCAGATTTCTCATATATTGTGTAAGGCAATATATGTGCGGATGATCGCTAAAATTTGTTGAACTACTCTCCATTTCATTGAATTTCAAGAGGTTCATATCCCTAAAGTTGTTAAAGTTTTCGTGGTCTTGGATCTTACTATTTTACCCTATATCATATCCCATTAATTTGGGGTTATTCTTGCGGCTGCTTTGGTGGTTTTTGATTTTAGTGGCCATTTGTTTAGTGACATGCATGGTTTTTTCTTTCTGGTATGGGGAGTTTGGGGAGGGGTCGCTTGTGGTTTGCTACTCTTGCTGCGGGTTTCCCACTTTTCCATGACTTGCTTGTATTTGCGTGGGTTATTATTTTTTTTGGTATAAATTAGTTAGATTATCCTATAATTTCTATACTCACAGCTCTGGTATGATGCCTATGTTGTATGGTATGCTTCTTGTTTTTTATCCCTTGCAGCTATTCTAATTGCAAACCACTGATTTAAGTTGGCAGTCCGTTGTGTTTTGCATTCTGGATGGTTTTTCTATAGGTCCTATTGATGGTCGCTCTGCTGTTTTCTGCTGCAGCTCTTTATTGCAAATGTTTACTGAACTTATATTTGGGTTGATGATTCTTCCTTCTGGTGACAATTATGAGCTAAATGTTTATTCAGTGCATCTTAATTTTTGGGAGTGGACTACTAGCCGCCCTAATCTTGATTTCTCTTTTGAGCAGTAGGGGGTTGGAGGTCTCTTTAAAGATCTTACACTTTTTTTTTATACTAATGCGTAGGCTAGTGGGTTGGTATATATATATATAGTTGCATTAATATAAATCTCCCTTCTATATAATGAGGGTTCAAAAGCTCGTAAATCAAACGAAGTTGCATTCCCCGCTAAAACAACACCGATTGGAAAAACCAGCAATTTCCTCTTCTCCTGAGCCAAGAAGCCTAGCATCCAAGAAGCGAAGAAGAAGAAACCCTCCATGGAACCTCCCGCTCAAATCCCCTGTTCCGGCAATTGCCTCGTCCACCTACACTCCTTCTCCGGCAACGTCTGGCTGGTCCGCCGCATCAACATTTTACGGCAACATCTTCTCCCCGGCAGCATTATCCGTTTCCCGTTCACACGACCCAATCACCCGCCAACTTTCCTTTCCCTCATAGATATCCTCACCTTACATTTCCAAGATAGGAAAGCCGCCATGGAACGCCTCGGCCACCGAGCCCAAAACTTCGTCGCCATCATCCCCGCCAGCAGCAACACCTCCCGCTATCAATCACAACTCTCCGCCGCCGCCACTGCTGCCGGACTGAACATTCTCGTTCACCCAGGTACAACAAATAAAGATCTGATGACTATCCTTCCTCAAATCCACAGAATTATACCAAATGTTACGGCAACAATATTTAACAACACAATGCCAACTTCAGGTAACCCGAAAACCCCATTGGATTCTAATCAGTCTACAGATATCCCTATCCCAAGCAAAAATACAAAACCAGAACTGTATCAACAACTCTAAATTCCAGATCCCAAAACACTTAAAACAGAGATCCGCAAAGCAGCAACCTCATGACACCAAAAACAGAAGAGAAGTTCATAACAGTAGAAATAATGACTCTATAGATAAACCAAAGAATCCAGATCATAGCACAGACATAATAGAATAAGAAGAACGAAATAATCTAGCTCCAAGGAACAGAAGGAAATGTTCTTAAGAGCCGAAGACCAACCAACTTGAAACCCAGAATAACAAAAACAAACACTAAAAAACTCAAAAACATAAAATCAGCTCGATCTAATATAAGGAAGACCAATTTTGTCCAGATTTACAAAACATTGCGTAAGGAAATATGTGTGCGGATGCTCGCTAAAATTGGTTGGACTATTCTCCATTTCATTGAATTTCATGAGGTTCATATCCCTAAAATTGTTAAAGGTTTCGTGGTCTTGGATCTTACTGTTTTACCTTATATCGGATCCCATTAATTTGGTGTTATTCTTGCTGCTGCTTTGGTGGTTTTTGATTTCGGTGGCTATTTGTTTAGTGACATGCATGGTTTTTTCTTTTTAGTATGGGGAGTTTGGGGAGGGGTCGCTTGTGGTCTGCAGCTCTTGCTGCGGGTTTCCCACTTTTCCATGACTTGCTTGTATTTGCGTGGGTTATTGTTTTTTTGGTATCAATTAGTTAGATTATCCTATAATTTCTATACTCACAACTCTGGTATGATGCCTATGTTGTATGGTATGCTTCTTGGTTTTTATCCCTTGTAGCTATTCTAATTGCAAACCACTAATTTATGTTGGCAGTCCGTTGTGTTTTGTATTATGGATGGTTTTTCTATAGGTCTTATTGATGGTCGCTCTGCCGTTTTCTGCTGCAGCTCTTTATTGCAAATGTTTACTAAACTTATATTTGGGTTGATGATTCTTCCTTCCGGTGGCAATTTTGAACTAAATGTTTATTCAGTGCATCTTAATTTTTGGAAGTGGACTAATAGCCGCCCTAATCTTGGTTTCTGTTTTGGCATTGTAATTTTGCTCATAGGATTTTTTTGGACCTTTTTGGTAGCTCTTTTGAGGAGTAGGGGGTTGGAGGTCTCTTTAAAGATCTTATACATTTTTTTTATACTAATGCGTAGGCTAGTGGGTAGGTATATATATATATAGTTGCATTAATATAAATCTCCCTTCTATATAATGAGGGTTCAAAAGCTCGTAAATCAAACCAAGTTGCATTCCCCGCTAAAACAACACCGATTGAAAAACCAGCAATTCCTCTTCTCCTGAGCCAAGAAGCCTAGCATCCAAGAAGCGAAGAAGAAGAAACCCTCCATGGAACCTCCCGCTCAAATCCCCTGTTCCGGCAATTGCCTCGTCCACCTACACTCCTTCTCCGGCAACGTCTGGCTGGTCCGCCGCATCTACACTTTACGGCAACATCTTTTCCCGGACGGCATTATCCGTTTTCCGTACACACGACCCAATCACCCGCCAACTTTCCTTTCCCTCATAGATATCCTCACCTTACATTTCCAAGATAGGAAAGCCGCCATGGAACGCCTCGGCCACCGAGCCCAAAACTTCGTCGCCATCATCCCCGCCAGCAGCAATACCTCCCGCTATCAATCACAACTCTCCGCCGGCGCCACCGCCGCCGGAATTCGCATTCTCTTTTTCATCGAAGCTCCGGTTCTTGCCGCCTCCTATTACAAATCTCACACCCCAGGCCACAGAACCGTCCTCGTATTCGACCTCGATGTTCACATCTTCGAAGTCTCTCTGCTCACCGAAGATGAGAATCTAAAAGTGAAGGCTGCCGTTTCCGACTTGGGCTGCCCACTCTTCAACTACATGGTTTCAGAGATACAGCGCAAGCTTGGAATCGACATCAGCGGTGACGCTACCTCCTCCGTTGCATCGGACAGTCCTGCGAACGCGCCAAGGACTCCATCTGTTCGGGCGTGGCTGGTGTGGAGCTTGAGTTTGGGCAACAAGGCAGGAAGGTGCCAATACGGATTACTCGAGAAAGGTTGGTGTTGCTGAATCTCAGGCATCTTCACATCGGAATCATGAGGTGCTTGATGGAAGCCGGAGTCAAGCGAGAAGCCGTGGATGAGATTGTGCTCGCCGGAGCATGCACTAACATACCAGAGGTCCAACAAGCTCTTCGACAGTTCTTTGAAAGGCAGCCTTTCAGATGTGACATCGACCCTGCAAATCTTGTGGAGTTGAGGGCCACGCAATGCTTACGAAATGTCTCCGCTAAGTACAATAATATCCCTATGTTTGGCCTTAGGATCATACAATCGGGGATTTTCACACTTTGATGTTTCTTCTCCATTATTCTTTGAATTTCTTGTGATGCTGCATAGTCTACAATATTACCCAATTTTATTATGGAATTCTTCGTCGTTATTCTTTGAAGTTCTTCTGAATGCTGTAGTCGTCTACAATATAGCACAATTTAAATAAAAATATTCTTCATTATTTTTTGAAGTTCTTGTGAATGATGGAGTAATCTAAATTTGCACTAATTTTAAGGAAAGATGATAGCCCTTTTGCCTATGTAACTATTTTTTATACCCTAAATCTTGCAGAGTTATGGAAGGATTCATGACAAAATGATTAAAATATGAGATGTTTTTTTTAAATCTATAATTTATCGCTAGTCGATCTCAAAAGGAATATTAACCAGAATTTATTTAGTTTTTATTGGATTTGCCAAACAAGTCTTTACTATGCTGATGCATCCCATGATTAATTGAACAGTAGGTTGGAGAAATAAAGGGGATTAGATTTCATTTGAGAACTTTTTTGTTGCTTTACTCATCATATCACAATCATTATTTTTGTTTGGTTATTACTTTTTAATTGCTTTCAATAAAGTTTTTATGATAGAAATATATTTTCTACAACTTTTAAAAAATTAATCTCTTCACAGCAATTTTACAATCATCTTTATAAAAATTTGCAACTATCCCATATAACCCTAAACCAACTAAGAGCACGAGGAGAAACGGCTATGGTACTGGAAAAGGGATCTGCACACCATTTTTGCAAGTGCATTGAAAAAGATTGTGCAGAGAAGATAAAAGGGTGATGTGGACATGGGAAATTTTTTTAATAAGGAGCATAGTTTAAGGCAAATTAAGGATAAGAAGCATAATTTGGAAAATATAAATATAAAAAGAAACAAATATCTAAAAACAATGTTTATTTCATAAAATGCAAAAAAGATTTTAGGGCCAAGTCATCGATTTTTAATTTCTTTAACGTAGAACCCCAAGAAATGAAAAAATCTTGGGGCTAGGTCCAGTTGATATGTTTACACTTATCTCTACAAAAATTGTATTTTTAACTACATTATTATTAAGATATTTTTAATTAAATATCTTTAAAAAAATTATTATGATACAATAATATATTAAGACATCAATAATTCAACATTAAATAATCAACGCTTATTCATCCTCCCTCCATTCAACCAATCAAGGGTTTATGAGCTAGCCAGGTACCTACCTTTGCTTGACTCTAATATTGTGGTTTCTTGCTTCTGAGAGCTAGAGTGAACACCTAGATTTGTCATGACACCATCCCCACATTTTTTTCTCTTCCTCCCAATCAAATGCATGTATCATTACCCTATTCATGGTTTCTTCCTTTGATCGAACGTGTAGGGATGTCGCACCATTGTTCAATCTAATTTCTTCCTTCCCTAGGTGTATTTCTCCACCAACTCTTGATTTCTCCCTCTCGAAAGATTATTGCCGCGATCAAGATAGGCAATCTTCTCTTATTTTTGTAAAAGCATGAAAAGTCCATGAGCTGGTGTCCTTATTTATTTGAAAATCATTAGATTATTCTGTGAAAAGAATCTAATGGATAAAGCTATGCTAATCTCTCAAGATATGGAGAAGATTGTGTTTGCTCCCTTTTGTGGAAATTTAAAATATTATAATTAGTTAAACCATATATGCTAATCTCTCCCTCTTGATCCTTTACCTTGAGTTGAAATTAGTCAAAGCATATATAATGAGCTCAATAGCCCGACATTTTACTAAATCATATAATGAAATTTAAAGCATGCACAATAAAAAATAATATGCGTGTTATCAGTCAATTCACAATAGTGACATTCAATGACCATGAATCAGTGAAGAGACAGAAAAATTGATGTGCAATAACAGTAAAGTTTATAAACTGTAAACAGTATGGTACGAAAGCTAATAAAATTATACAGTGAGGGAAGCCAAAAAAATCTTTGAACCAGCTTGTCAAATTGATACAACTATTGAAGTCATTTACCAACCACATGCTATATCAGTATTAAAATGATAATACATCCAATATATAGCTAACATCTCATAATAAATGATAATTAATAGTTTTGATGGATAAATAATAATAGCCATAGTATTGAATCTGTATCAATCTTATCGGTGATAACAATAACAATAAACAATGGTTAAGTGGTATACTAGCAATAACAATAAACAATGGTTGTAATAGTAAGTTCGTATGGTGATAGGAATCAATATAGTAATAGTAATGTCATACAATAATAATGAATCTTATTGTCATATAATAATAGTGTTTTTTCGATGAGTATGTTAATTGTTAGTAACCATTGGCTCAATAAAAAGGGCCACCACTCCTTTGCCTGTCGAATTAGTAATAACTTCTTATAACTCCAAAATATTGAATAGTGAATAATAAAGGGTAACACCAACCTATATTATTTAAAGAGAAGTCGATTGGCGGTGTTGTACAGGTCATCAACATACTATAGCCAAAGTCAGTGAAACCAGCTTTTACTTATCTTTTATAAACATATTATTATCAAATTAATATACCAATAATAGCGACCATCTATTACACAATTATACACTAATTTAAACTCTCAATGTCTATATTAAAAATATGGTTAAATAAAAATACTTAATAAATTATTCAATCCAAATCATATAAAATACAAAAACTTTTAACTAGTTAAAATGTCAATAATGCTTGATACTATTACATACAAAAAGTTATATGGTAAATGTCTTTAAAATTAGAGAACATGTAATAAAATCAGTTATGGGGAGAATCAAATATTCAAACTCAAAATATTTGAAAATAGAAGTAGGGAATAAATCACCTACCACGATTGGAACAATTTTTTAAAAGCGGCAAAGTGATATAGCTATTAAAATTATATTTCTCCTTCTCTCTCTCCTCCTTTTACTTCCTCTCTCATTTTCTTCTCAGGAAAGCTGATGGTGAGTGAGGGGGAGGACAAGTGGGTATATCACTACAGAAAATTCAGTGATTACCGGCGGCTGTCTAGCCACCAGTACTAACGGCGATTTATCCGGCGGATTTGGCCGCCAGTGAATACCGGCGGCCTAACCGGCCATTATGGAAGCTTTATGCCACCGGTAATAGCGGCGGTCACAAAACCGCCGGGTAAAAGTCGGCTTTAAAAGTTACTGGCACTGTACCGGCGGCCAAAACTGCCGGTGTTAAGCGATTTACTTACCTGCGGTAGAAGTTGCCGACAAACCATCGGTAAAAGCCCTAAAATGAGCCAGCCGAGCCTCCCATTTCATTTCGTCTTCTCCTCATCTCTCTCTTCGGCCGTGCTCGCCCGTTTCCTCTGCCCTCCTCTTGCGCGACCGAGCTGCCCCAGGCCGCCGATGATCTATCTCCGGCCACCGACGATCACACCGGTCGAGCTCGAAATCCCACTACAAGGCCGTCGACGATCACACCGGGTTCCGATCCCGTGTGCGACGCCGCCTGCGAGGTGAGGTTTTTATTTTTTTTATGTATTTTATCATGGATGTTTTTTGTTCTCACTAGAGAGACATTTGCATATTATGCTAGAGAATGAAACTTGGTGTATCTCAATGTTTTCTTTTTTTTTTTATGGATGTTCTCACTAGGCATTTGCAAGAGAATGAACCTTGGTGTATGCTTTTGCTTGGTTTTGGAAGTTCTCACTAGAAATTTGTAATATAATGTATCTTGGTTTATGCTTTTAATTTGGCTTTTCTATTGGTGTTCTCACTAGACATTTGCAAGAAAATGAATCTTGGTGTATGATTTTTGCTTTAGTTATGGATGTTCTAACAAGACATTTGCAAGAAAATGTACCTTGGTGTATTCTTTTTTGCTTTTTTATGGATGTTCTCACTAGATATTTGCAAGAGAATGTACCTTACTTGGTGTATGCTTTTTACTTTAGTTATGGATGTTCTCACTAGACATTTACAAGAGAATGTAGTTTGCTGTATGCTTTTTTTCCTTAGTCATGGATATTCTCACTAAACATTTGCAAGAGAATGTACCGTGGTGTATGCTTTTTGTTGAGGGTATTCCTCTTATTGAAAATAGTAGAGAGAGAGTTAAAGGTAAACTTGAATTATGTAGGTCAACCTTATTGTTTAAAGTTTTTTGCATAAGTAGATCTAAAACTTAATATATAGAGCATAATTTTAGTAATAATAGACCAAGTTGAGGGACTGTAACTTTGGGTGATGAAATCATTACTAAAAGTACAAGTTTTTAATATCTTTGATTTATTTATGGTGAAATAGATGGGGATATTATCTATAGAATTCAAGTTGGATGGTGGAAGTAGAATTCAAGTTGTACTTTTATAATAGTTTTCTCAATTGAAAAAATTAGAGATATGATACGAAGTGAGCATATACGTGATAAGGTTAGAGTAGCTCCAATGAAAGATAAGATTAGAAAGAGTTTCTTTACATGGTTTTGTCACATTAAACGGAGGCCTTCTGATGACCCGGTAAGGAAAGTTGAGGTATTAGATTTGACTTATATTAATAAAGGTAGAGGTAGACAATGCATTCCAATTCAAGTAAAGTATACTTGTTTGAAAGTATAGCACGTACACTTGTTAAGGTTTACATATGTGTTCTAATAAATATTTTCATAACTATCTAGGGGGACGTTTGCTTCAACATCCAAATGAATATTCAAGAAGAGAGATATTGGATGTATAACAAATTATTTACAGGTTGAAAAGGATTGAGAAATGAATTTATACAGGGAGTCGAAACTTTCATTTAAGTTGCATCTCAACTGCCTTCCTTTCAGTTTGATAAAATATTTAGATGTCCATGTTCGAAGCATAAAAATTAAGTATTCCTCAAGCCCGATGATGTGAAGCTTAATTAATATCGTAGGGGATTTCTTTCAAACTACTGGATTTAGACATCACATGGCGAGTACGAGCCACATAAAGATGCTCATGTCCGTTCATCCACAGTATATGAAATATTTGATGAAGATCAAATGAGTAGACCCTATAAAGAACTTATTTTTGATGTAGCAGATCCTAATTTAAGGGCTAGTATGGAAGAGCCACTAAATACAAAAACTCAAAAATTCTTTGAGTTACTACATGCAGCTCAAAAACTAATTTTGGACGGTTGCAGTACCCATTCAAAATTATCCATTGTAGTGATGATGCTAAGTATTAAAATTGAGTATAATATTCCCCATGATTGTTTCAATAACTTTATTGGTCTTCTCAAGAAAATTAATCTAACGGATAATTTAATCCCCTCAGACTTATACCAAATGAAGAAATTAATATCCAAGTTGGGTCTCACTGCTACAAAAAGTGATGGTTGTATCAATGAATGTATGTTATACTATAAGAATGATGCAACAGAAGTTTATTATCGCACCAGCAATGTTCCTCGATTTAAGTCAAACTCGAGAAAACAACGTCATCAAAAGAAAGATGTTCCATATTCCCGTTTATTTTATTTACTAATCATTCCAAGACTTCAGCGACTTTATGCATCAATGAGTTCAGCAAAAAGTGATGTTCTTTCTCATCCATCAGATGCTGAAGTGTGGAAATATTTTGATCGAGCGCATACTATATTTGTTGCTGAATCCTGCAACTTAAGATTAGGATTATGTGTCGATGGTTTTACCCCATATAGTCAAATAGCTACACCACTCTTGTTGGTGAGCTCCAAAAATTCGGCCCCGGCCTCCGCCCGCTTTTCTTTTTCTTCGGTGAGGGGATTTTAACTGATAAGTTTCGAGGTAAATTTTAGAAGGCAGATGGGTTTGTAGATAAGACATTACCCAAAGATTTCTCCCTTATTTTATGAGGACTTTATGATCTGAGTTCTGGTTTCCTATAGGCGCAAGCCCCTATAATTAATTACCCCTCCCGATCATGAGAGAGAATTTTTGATTAAGGCTAGTCGTCAATCAGATATGTAAAGATATACGTGTTATCTGGCATATAGTAGCAGTATTGGTTTTGGATTTGAGATTTAATATTTAAAATTAGAAATTGCACCATCTTGCACTTAAAGCGGATGGTGGGGGAATGGATGATGAACTCGATCAAGATCCCATGGTTTTGTCGTCCTGGGTCATCGTGGTCCCTAGTCTACTTAGTCAGAGGAGGTAGTCGACCCAACCTGACAGAAGGATCCTTGTTGACAGCCATGTGTTGCTTCATTCAAGGGTACCTTGTAGACCAATAGTGGATATTTGCCTAATGGGATAAATTTAAATCCACCTTAGCTAACAGAGGGCTTTGTGCCCTCTTGATCATATCCTATTGATTCATATCTCAAGGGATTTGATGCCACTAAGGAGCGTATTGGCTCTGGCCATAATCGGTATTTTGTGGTGCCATTTGGTGGCAAAACCAGTTTGTTCAAAGGGCCCCGGGACATAACTATTTATCCTGTTGTGCCATTTGACAGAAAAACTGTTGGTTAGAGGACACGTACTAAGCCCTTATTGGCAGAAGATTGCTTGATAATAGATCACAGTGATATTTTCGACTAGACATTTAGCTCTTTTGTGAGCTGAAGTAAATTTTAATTTGTCCACCTCGACAAACTGTTGTGGAGGATGGATGGATTTTACTTTAAGCAAGTGATAGTTTATTTCAATTTTAAATATTTGAATTTTAGGATTATGGATGATCTTTGGAATTTTTGGATTTTGGTATTTTTGTGGAGTTATAGGAGTTATAGATTTTGATGGGCATTTGAGTGGCATTTGTCATTTCTATTTGATTGAATCTTGTCGACTCTATCAAATTTATATTATCGATAGATGATCGGATTTCATATGTTTTATGCTCTTATTAGTGAATTCGTATTGCTATAGACCTTGAAGGCCTAATATGAATGTATTAAAACAATACACTGGTTGCCACAACTTTGTATTTGTTTGAAGGTTCGATCCCTGTCGACTCCTATTGATCCGTATAGGAGGATAAGGTTCGAACTAGAATTCACTTATTGACCCGCACAGCATCCCTAAACATCACATGTGTATAAATAACATATTCGCCGGGGCCCATACATGTGTTTGGAAACATTTTATAATTAAACCCAATCGACTCCTTTTTACCTGTTAAGGAGGATCGGGTTTAAATTTAATAACCCGCGCAGCATCCCTAGACGTCACGTGTGTACCAATAACACGCACACCAGGGCCCATGCGGGTTTGAGATTGCTTTTACCCTTTTTAGTGTACCTGTGTGTATACAAACTACTATGCATGTGCGGGGGTACTTTGAAAGTATTTGTAGACGTCTTCTGTCTGCTTGTACGGAGGTTGCAGATCCGGTGGCGTGGTATTGTAGTTTGTGGACACCTTCAGTCTGCTCGTATGAGGGTTGCAGATCCGGTGGCGTATTGTAGCAGCTTCTAGATCAGTGGTTTGCTGCTTCATACAGGTAGACTATCGTGCAGTACTCATCGCTTTCTGCAAGTGGATCATAGTGCACTAACTAATCTCTTGCTTTGGATTGTAGGAACTTGCACTTGTTGAATCTCTTTTGTATTCGCTCTAGGATAGTACTTTGTGGATATGATGGATTCCCTACATCTGTTTGTAGGTCTCTTTTTTTGCTATATATTATACAATCTTCATTTGCAGGAGGACAATGTATCAGGCTGCCATTGGGTGATTGTTGATCGTGGGGTGTGGTAGCATCCGTCACCTTTGCTGCACATATTTTATATTCATTCGCGAACATTGTGTCATACACATGATGAGATTCTATAGCAGCTCGTAGGAGGATAATGCACTTGTTTGAATGATAGATACATACGTCATAATCCTTCACTATTGTCTCCATATGATTTACAAAATTTATCTACATTTAATTATGATTAAACTATACATGTCCATCTTGATCATAGCTTGGTAATAAATTAATGTTGCTAATCCATTATCAAGCTACAAAGAATTCAAGTCATGACTTTGTGGCCAAATCATATCCTCTACAATCTTCTCATTATTTGCAAAAACAAATCCCCACTTCATATTTAACTTTGAGTTAAATTCATGTACAATGTACTCCCACTTGGCACTTGTTTGTATGTTGATTATGCTTGGATGCCCTCCTTCATGAGTCTCATATTTGTATGTTTGAGATTTATTTCAATATTTTCCACAAGATCACTTAGTATTCACTTTCAAATTAAAATGATATTTCTCATTTTGAAAGCTTAGTATTATGGCTCAAATCAATCATTATATTGATTATTCATTTGATTAAATATTTACTCAAGTTAAGAGCAATATCAGTTGAATCCAATTTAGATTTGAGTTCAAGTCTTGCTCATTTGATGTTCAAATTAGTGTCCAAAACATGCTCATTTGCAAAAGTCCCCTGTTGTCCTTTTTTGAGCTCAAGCCCTTGTCCAAGTTTGAGTCAAAGTTCAATTTGTCCAAATTTTGTCCAAGTCCAAGTTCAAGTTCAATGCAGTTCCAAATTGAGTCGTATTGCACTTTGTTCCAATGTTCATTTCATTTGATTAAACTTGATTTAAATTTGATAGTATGCTCAAGTTATATCCAAATTAGGTTCCAAAATTTATCCAAGTCCCAAATTTCAGTAAAAAATTTAGGCAGCCTCCCGGTGTCTCCCCCGTTTAGTGGAAAACTATAGAAAACTAGGCCTCCCGCCATGCTAGAGAAAAGTGTGCACGGTAGGTGCCCTCGGACGAGGACACCGCGGCCGTAAAAATTTTGTTCCCCACCACGCCAGAGAAAGGCGTGCATGGGTTTTCGGGCACCGGCTTAAAACAAGTAATTTTACATTTGACCCCATCTCACCGTAGGCGTCGCATCGAATTCCCTTCCCACCACGCTAGAGAAAAGCGTGCATGAGTTGGTTTTTCGGTCCGACACTAACGCCAAAAATGGAGTTTCGTGATTACCCGCCTCGTCGCAAGCATCGCAACGAATTCCCTCCTACCACGCTAGAGAAAAGCGTGCATAGGTGGTCGTTCGCCGCGTTGCAAGCGCTGTGGCATGTTTTCTAAGTTTAGAGCTTTATACCTGCGCAGGGTTGACGATGGCGATGTCGGGGCACAAAATCAAGATAATATTTTTTTCTCTTTTCTTTCTTTTTTTTTTGAAATCTCTTTCTCTCTCTCTCTCTCTGGACCCTCCCCCTCTCTTTTTTTTTTTTTTTTTTTTTGAAACAAATCTCTCCCTTTTTTTTTTGCACCTTCTCTTTTTTTTGTACAAATCTCTCACTTTTTTTTAATAAAATCTTTTATGATTTTAATATATGATCTGTATGTTGATGAAACTTAATCTAAAGAAAAGAAACAATAATAAAAATAAGTATATGATGGCTAATCTGCAAGATGATCGTGCTCTTCAATGATCTAGTTGATGCCCAAAGCAATGTATATCCAAGTTTTAAGCTCTCTTGCTCCATAGGAATAATTGTTGCAAGCCCATCATGAACCTCTGAAAGTCTTTTCTTGGCCGCATCTTGAATTGGCAAATCATTATCATACCAATCAGGTGGTATTCTAGCTTTATCACGAGCTACATAGTTGAAAGGACCTCTCAACTCCATGCTATAATTCTTTCAACAAATCTTTTAAAAGTATCAGATGAAGCTCTATCCAAAGTTTGACAGAGCTGAGTAAACCAAAATACATCAATTGCGATGTGAGCCACTTCCTTCTCAGAAATTATTGCTACAATATCTGGTGTTTTATGATCTCCAACTCCCATCAGCTTCTGAACTCTCCAACAAAAGTTATGAGTTGGCATGTCTCCAAAGTTGAAGCCAAGCTCCATTAACCTTTGTGAACTCCATGCAAAGTACTGGCTTTCATCACCTTGTTCAATAACAGTTCGACGTCCCCTTATAGCTAGGAAGGCAGATTTCAGCATTAGAGAGAAACTTTAAATTCTCTATAAAGTTGTTTTTCCAAACCTTTTGTCTTCCACAAAACCAAGCACTAAATGCTCAATCAGACACAAAGGAGTCTCCATATTCTTTCTTGAACTTTCTAGCTCTCTGAATTAAAGATTCCAAGTCCCTTCTCAACATGGAACCAACTGACTCACCAAGGATCTTTGGTTGCTTCTGGGCGTAGCCATCCGTGGCTTCAAAAGGCGGGTGTTATCAACTCCAGCCTTGGATAAAATCTAGCTAATTGGACTGTTCTTCCATTCCAACAATGCCTTCTTTAAATGCATGGCCTCCACAATCTGATGCTTACTCTCCTTCACAACCTCTGACGTTGAAATAATCCCCTGCCATTACATCTCCTTAAACTCCTATTGAGTAATCCTCCTATCTTTTGATGAGGCATCACAACGTCTCGTTAGCTGAGATCTCGTCGCTGAAATCCCTATACACTTTCCGAAATGCAAGGAACTCTGGCAGCCAGAGATAGCCAAGGATAAAGAACAGAGCTTGGTGAGATTTAGCAGCATCATCGATTGGAATATTGGGGAAGAGGTTCTCGAAAATAGGTAGGGATGTCCTTGCGTGAGATCTGGGAAGGAAGAATGGCTGGTTTTAAGCAGGGAAGCTGGACAGGTGCGGGCGGCTTTAATTTGTGGTTGTTGGGACGGCTTAGGGAGGAGCAAGAACGGAGCAGAAAAGAAATGGAGCAGGGAAAGGTCCGAGCAGCTTGCCTGGATCAGAAGGCCGATTTACTGAGTTGGATTTAACGAGGAAAGTAGAAGATCGAAGGAGTCAGGCTATGACGTGGGATTTCAGGTGGTTATAGTAGATGGGAGGAGTTGGCTTTTGAGTTTGGCGTGAACAATAGAGAGAAGAGGAGGACCGAGAGAATAGTTTTCGCTCATTTCATTTTGATCTAACGACGAGAGCCAGCCCTCGAGATGACCTACCATCAGCGGGATTTCAGCGATTTAGACGCCAAATTCAGCGGAAAATCGGGAGATCAGAGCAATTTTCGACTGATACGAGGAAAGCTATTAAATATGATTAGATATTTCCTTTGACCCTTACTCTGATTTTATTTATTTTGAATTAATATTAACATTAATAATAATATTTTATCATCAATATTATTATTAATATGAAATTGTAATGAATTCAAAAGGAAATGCCTCGATTCGCATGCATTTCACCTTAAAATGTGTGTAATTATCTCGTTTAGCATGTCGAATTTGTCGAACATAAACATTAGACAAATTGGTAGTGCATTTAGGGTATTGTCTATGTTTCAGTCGCAACGATGCAGCCCGTTTCTCGATCGGACTTCGTTTGAGCATTGTCGAGGCCTCATTTTTCTCGTAATGCGTATTGTCGTATTTGAATCATCTCGAAATTTGTGCCACCACCTCAAACAATCCAAATTAATAAAAAAATATATATTTTTTTTCTTAATGTTGACGATTGGACGTCATTTCGTCATTGCGATCGGATGTCATTTCATTTGAGCATCGCCGAAGCTAATTTCCTTCGTAATGCGTGCCTTTGCATCATATTTGGATCGCCTTTGAAATTTGCGACACCACATCAAATGATCCAATTTGATCAAATAAAATATAGGCTCTTAATGTCGATGATGTTCCGGACGCAATGGTGTCATCCATTTGTCGATCGGATGCCATGTCGTCTCTATAGAGGTAAATTTTCTTGATATGCGTATCTTTGCATTATATTGGGATTCGTATCCACAAATCTAGATACTCCAAATTGAATAAACAAAATGCACTTTTCATAGGTTGGCAACATTTCTAACGCAACGATGAAGTCTGTTCGTTGATCTGGGATCATTTGATCAGTCTTACGCTTTAATTTTGGGTGTCGGTCGTCGCTTTTGATCGATCTCGTCTGATTCAATTGCGAGGGGCCTTGACCTAGCAGAGTTCGACGTCCTGATCGCAATGACGTCATCCGTTTGGCAATCGAAGGTCGTTTGATCCTTCAAGTGATGCATGGTGCCAAGGTACGTAATGCTTTATTCACCAATTGGGGTCCTTTCTCACGTGGATTGAGGTATAAAGGTCAACAGTTGGCCAGTTATATTAACACTATACAACCTTCTACCAGAGATGTGTATAACTACTCTATACATGTTCTTAACTCTTATAATACCCAAACCACATAATTCAAAAGCAAAAATTGACTTTTTTTTGTAACCATTAATTGATGACCTCAAGTTATTATGGAAAGAAGGAGTTCTCACATATGACATATCAACAAAATAAAATTTTCTCCTTCGAGCTGCATTTTTGTGGACCATTGGTGATTTTCCAGCTTATCGTATGTTGTCTGGTTGGAGCACAGCAGGAAAATTAGCATGTCCTTACTGCATGAAGAATACTAAAGGTTTTACACTAAAACATGGAGGAAAAAAATACTTGGTTCGATTTTCATTGTATATTTCTACCTGCTTATCATCGGTTTCGGAGGAATAATGAAGCATTCGTTAAAAATAGAGTTGAGCGGTTGCCTCTTTCATCCAGATTAAGTGGTGATGATGTACTACAGAGATTTTTTTATATTCCAATAATTATTGATTTTTCAATGCTATCAGAGTCTAAATATCTGGGATATGGTGTTGAATATAATTTGATTAAAAAAAGTATTTTCTGGACATTACCATATTAGAGAACTAATTTAATAAGACATAATCTGGATATTATGCACATTGAAAAGAACTTCGTAGACAACATTTTTAATACAATTATGAATA